GCATGCTGTGTAGGTTTGAGATGAGTAGGGTACGTCCACAGCAGGAACCCCAGAAATCTCCCCAGAGTCACTGTAGCATGCACTGATTATATCCATCAGCTGCTGATTGATGGAGTTCAGCGGGTACATGCAGAGAGCAGAGTCGCTTTCGTCGTCATCTGGATGAGCCACCATGAAGAGGACTTTTGTGAATGAGGTGACCGTGCCATAATTACCAGATTGAGACATGACCCGTGCCAGCTCTTTTCCTGGAAAAGCCACATATGCAGCTTGGACTTTGTTGTACCGGTTCTTTATACCGCAGGTTAACTGGAGCTCTGTGTACGAATAGTAATGTTGGTCATTTTCACAAAGACGAGACACATAAGTCAAGTTTTTGTTATCTGTGCCATCAAGAGTCCGAGAAAAGAGGAAATACACAAAACCATCCTCTTTGAAGGCATGTTGGAAGTCGTGTAAGTACTTGAGGACAAATGGCGCCGTCTGTACCGCTGATGCCTCAATGATGTTCTCAAACACAACCCAGTCCTGGTAGTCCTCAAGGATTCGTGTGCTGATTAGTTTTGTACTGTCCAGGCTTCCATAGCCCTTTCCAACAAGGAACACTTTGAAGGTCCGGCCATTTTTTGTGTAGTTGGACATGACGCTCACCACGTTCACATTATCCTCTATGCTAGCCACGTAAGTCCTCTGTCCTTTGTTGTCATTGTAATACAGCTCTTGTTCTACATTAGACAGGTTGAGGAGGGAACATATGCCTCTGTATCGACTGCCACATACTATTAGTGAACCATTGGACGGGTGGACCAGCAGAAGCTTGTTGCTGTTGGGCATGAGCACTGTGTCCTGACAGCCTGAAGCAGGAGGTGTACATGTTTTGGCATCTTTTTTTGGGCCCGTCTCAGTGCGGGCCTCCTTCTGGAGGGACGGGCTCAGCTGGAAGATATTGTTGACTGCTCCCAGGTAGATGCGACCAGTCTGTGGGTCCTGGACCACATTGTTAATCAGGCTTTCAGAGATGAATTCCACAGTGGGGATTTTTCCACTACCCCCTTGGGCTTGAGAGACTGACAGCCAGAAGAGGAAGAGGAGGATGGAGACCCAGCTTGCCATCTCTGGAAGGAACAGAAAGGAAGAAGTGTTTTATTATTAATGAAGTTAAATGGAACTTTAAATGCACATTAACTATCAGCAACATGACACATCAACAAAGGGTTGGTGTGTAGTTAATATAACCCCACATACATACACATATACTCATACATAAAATTGAAGGTAAATCAGTTGTCTTTACATTGGTTCTAAGCAACAAGCCTGCTTCACTGGGAGGGGCTCAGGATCAGTTTGAGGTCAGGACTGTGTGCAGGCCAGTCAAGTTCTTCTACATCAAACTCGCTCATCCATGTCTGTATGAACCTTGCTTTGTGCACTGGCACACAGTCATGTTGGAATAGAAAACACCCACTGACTGCGACTGCGGAATATTTAGTAGCGAGAAAATTTCACGACTGGACTTGTTGCACAGGTGACGTCCTATCAGGGTACCACACTGCAATTCCCTGAGTTCCTGAGAGTGACAAATTCTTTCACAAATGTTTGTAGAAGCAGTCTGCATGCCTAGCTTCTTGATTATATTCAACTCGAAGTGATTGGAACACCTCAATTCAATGATTTGGATGGGTGAGTGAATACTTTTGGCAATATAGTGTATTTTTAGAAAATCTGCACATGGAGACATTAATAGGGTTGCACTAGGCTATACACCTGAAGTTTGTATTGCCCAGGTATATACAAAAGTAACAGGAAGTAATTTGAATGAACTGGGATTTTAAGGTGTACAACACATGAAGCATATCCCACTTTAGAGTCACAGATTTAGGTTATGGGGCTAAAACAATTTAAAAACTGCCTCGAGATGACAGCGCATGGCGTAGGTGTTTGTGTCTGACTCAACTCCCTGATCCAGTTATATATTTTTTGGGGGGGGGAGAGATTTTGAATTCAATTGATTTATCTCAAGCCATCACTGGTAAAAAAATAAATAAAACTGGTTTGTGTAGGGGTAAAAAAGACAAAGGATAACAACTAGATCTCAATCCATAACACAATAAACAACTCTTTAAAAAGCTTGGATCACATCCAACTTCATTTGCACTTGCTTTTTTTCTCCCCTAGCAGCCGCACAATGTGTTTAGGAAGTACACTGTTTTGTCTCAGGAAATATGATCACATAACATCCTTGTAAACTACAGACAGCCTCATGTACCGGCTAACAGCAGGTGCCTGCGGAGCCTTCGTTCACTGCTGTTTGCGCAGGCTGTGGTAAATATGGAACTGCAGGTGGCTTTGAAGCAGCCATTGCCCACACAGCAAATGTTAGTGTATGTTTGCATGTGGTTTCAGTCTTGCACACACTCAGCAGTATCCTCCTCCTCATTTCATCTTGCCAGTCAAGTTACAGACACATTTGTCAAAGTCACTTGCCAAAACTGTGTTTTATTATGTTAACCTGCCTTTGCTCACTGGACTAAGTGGGGAGACCACTGATTGGACATTTGCCTGGGGGGGAGGGGGGGCTGTTAATTTCACTGGCAACACTCATTTTCATTTAAGTAGACACAATTCGATTTCTTGATTTTATTTTTTTTAACCCCTCCACCCCACTCATTTACTGCCTCAAACTATCCA